CACGAGCGTTTGTAGACGACCTACATGTACACGCAACTGGCCATGCCAGTTGAGCTCATAGTCGGACTGTGACACGTGAGGCCAGGAGTATTGATTTGCGTTCTGGTCCCCACGCCGCTGCGAGGATGCGGGTCCCTAGCCGTTTAATCTCTACAAACCACGTCTATATGTCATGGAGGTTTGATTTTGATGTACATAAAGGCTTTTTCCTACCAGAAAAGCACAAGCGCATGTTCTGATTATGTTCAAAAGCGCCCTCGAGCCGGGGGGCGGGGTCCCCCAGAGACCCCCTTTATGGGGGTCGGCGAGGCAATTCCCAATTGCCGGGGGTGCCCCCCAAGGCGACGGGCAAGATGCGGTGACGCACGGGGTGGTTTGTCACACGGATCATTCAGATTTGCTTGACACAGTCCCAGAACAGTGGACTAAATCTCACTTTCAGCAGCAGGAAACCTTCTGCCTTGTCAACATTGGGAGGCCGTATTGTGCAAATGGAGTGTACTGAGCATGATCAACGCACCCACGGCCTGGTTCCGAGCGACAGACGCTCCTGGTCTTGGCTTTCATTGCGGAGAAATCCGACTGAAATGCCTACTAAACATAGATTATATGATATAGCTCATCAAAGAATCCGCGGCCCTAACACCATAGCACAAACGAGATTCGAGGCCCAATACGCTGCACGTCATCCTCGATATTTTGCTCTTAGCAGTATACCCAGTGCACAGTGATCGACAGAATGAGATACCACAGACAATGAAGTGGTCTCATAGTTTCTCGGGATAGGCTGGGAGCGATGTCTGAGATCATCAGCTTCTTCAACCGCCTAGGTCTACCGACATTTCACTCCTATTTGTTCGCTATTATGGCGCAGAGGGCTGGCACAAAGAAACTGAGTATCCCATAGTGATTACCACGAAGGAGAGCCTAGAAGTTGAGTCAAAGCATCCAGCATCAACGACAGCTCGTTGTACTCTGGGAGGAAGGCGGTAATGATTTCCGTGTATCATACAAGAGTTGGAAGGCGTCCGATCCTTATACGCACGTGGATCACATGATACAGCGAACGATGGGATCTCCACAAACACAGAGGTGCATCACGGGGGACGAACATGTGCTCCATGCAAATGGATGAAATGAGATAACACCGGAATCTCAATAATAAAAGGATAAGATTTACCAATGGGGAGCGATTTAAGAGATGCAAGAATCAAAGGGCTAGGATAGATGTCTTGCCCGTCGCCTTGGGGGGCACCCCCGGCAATTGGAAATTGCCTCGCCGACCCCCATAAAGGGGGTCTCTGGGGGACCCCGCCCCCCGGCTCGAGGGCGCTTCAAAGCTGAACCAGAATATTCGCTGTAACGCCTTTCACAAAGAATGGGGTCTGTCCCCACAGCCTTGTGAATTTCATGGCCGCTACGTAGAGCAAAGCATGAGCTTTCCGAACGGGACGAGCAGTTATTTGCTCTACCTCTCGAGCTTGAGGGTCGGATATTTCGATATGAATGCGTCGACGGAGCGTGACTGAACCCGCATTTAGTCTCCATGCTCGTATGCCTTGAATTCTCAGCGGGCCCATCAAGGTTGAGGTGATCACCGGAAACTGATCGATGGATTAATCGACTCGAAGGTCGAGGTGGCGACCCGTTGAAGCTAGCAATAGTCTTGGAAAAGGTACAGGCCATGCAATAGTACCAACAAGGCCGAACAGACACGCAATTTCCTCGCTTCGCATTCGACTCATGGGAATCCGAGGGTTGCCTGTAATCAGATCAGAGTCAGCCAGTGTTGATTCAGTTGGACGAGGCATTGTACTATACGTTGTTGATGAAGAAGTCCCTGGTGATCGACGGTATGCTTCAGACAGTCCGTCATTCACGATCGTCGTCATACCCATGTCTCTTGTGCAACGCTGTCATCAATATGCCGCGTTGTATCCAATCAGTTTGTTTGGGAAAGCCACACTGGGTGTGTAGGGCAGGCTTTCAAGACGGAAAACGCGGGCGACAAACCGATCTGTTTTATGATTGTACAGTCGTATTGGAGGACTCCTTGTAGAGATACACCGTCGTTCAGTGTGCGATCGCGGTTGAGGTGGAGACGCGATGGAGCGCGTCGGCCCGCAGTTTTATCTGACTTGGCGGGAATAGCTTTTCTCGTGACAAGAGTTTCCGCAGTTGGTGATGGGCTGCTACAATGGCATGCTACTGTCAGTGATTTTCGTGTCTGTAGCACAAACTTGGCACAAGGCATCGGACTTGACGCGGCCAGAGGCGCGATATTCAACTCACCTTATCGTGGACGACGAACGTCTAGAATTTATGCATCATGTTCTTGGCCCATGACCTTGGTTGGCGGGCTGGCATGGGTACTGTAGCAAGTGGACTTGGTGGGAATCACATTCTCATTCGCACTCCCGTGGCGGTCCACAACGTAACCATAGATGTCAGTGCATTGAAATTTCAGTATAGTCAGAGGGAAGAACTTATCTGGTGCTTCAAAAGGAAGGCTTGCTCGACTCTGGAAGCCAAGGAAAAGTATTGCAGAACCAGTTGCTGGGGGGAGGAGGACGTATTTATAGGCTCCTCAGCTCCAGTCGCGTGTGCTCTGCTGAGAAGCAAACGTTGAAGGACACCATGCCTATCCTAAGTGAGGCAGACTCTAATACCGCAACTATCTGCAGCGACATCGTCAGAGCTGTTTGAGATGCCCGCTGAGCGAAAATGCTGGTCATGTTGAAAAACAGTGAAGCTGAGTCGGTTAAGAAACGTTGGCCAAGTGTTGAATATTCGGTCTTCTATATTGAGGCAATGAAAGTGATTCATTTTTTAATTTTCCCAATAGTGCCCACATTTTCATCACTCCGCATCATGGATTGTGTGATTTTTGGGCGTCGCTTGAATGTTGGTTGTCTGAGTTGTGTGTAGTGTTCCGTCCGTCAAGACTCTGGAGTGCGGAAGCGTCAGGCGACACGCGAGCGGGTGCTTGACCCGTCCCGTTGAAATGTGACCATCGTTGTTGGCGGTGTCAACTTTTGAACTTATGACCGATGTTGAGATACGTTCTTCACTATGCTTTTTTAACCTCACTTTTATATTATCTACTGCTGGTGTTCATGAGTCTAACGAGTGTGAGTAGAGTTTTGTGATTCAATATATGTCTTTTGGCGCGTTCATCCCAGCGAGAATTAAAACCTGAGGTGCATTCACCCACCACAATCACCACGAGGTTTACACCACTATCATCACCAGTCTTTGACAGAGCGCTAAAAGTCCTCGGATTCTAGGCAAAGTTTGACTGCGTTGAATGACCTTTATGTTGATAGTACTGAATGCTTTATCTAATCCCCTCAAAGGTGTCTGTCTAATGCCACAATGGGTCCAGAATTCTTGGGGAAGTGATCTGATTCGTGGTGAGCCATATATCTTGTGCTTGTAAGCTTGGGTCTGCAAATAATAGAATCGGCTCTGGGGATCGCAAAGCGTTTCTAGGCGCTTTGCACCCCTAGGAAATGCTTTTTAGTTTCTAGGGATATTCTAGGCTCCAGGAATACGAAATCTGCTCCTAGGATTTTTACACTATGCTCCTGACGGAAGATCTAATTGGCTCTGGGAATACACTATCCAGATCCAGGAGCTGCAGAGCCCCCGGGAGCATGTTTCAGGATGTCAAGGATATAGATGAGGCATACGCGCTAAACCGAAGACGCGGACCCACATGGCGCATCGGGGTTCCCCTGAACCGAGGAAGCTATCTTGCTTTTGCTTCCTCGCGCTACGTCTTGTATCTAGAGTCGACTATACCTTTTGTTAATATGACCCTTCATTGAAAAGACACGCTCCTCATCAACAGATACGTGATACCCTCACACAGGATCTTAGAATACCATAGCACCTTTCGAATCCGTGGAAAGCCCTCAACACCTTCAGCAATCCTGCGCATAAATCTGCGCAATTGCGTCATTTCGAAAGGTTTGAGCTATAGCCCCAGGAGCGCCACTTACGCCTCTAGGCATCAATAAGTCGTCAACAGGAACCTGGCTTTGATTCCTCGAGGTGATGGTGTTAGACCCCAGGAGCCATTACAGGTTTCCTAGGGCCACGCGACTCCTGGAAGCTGCTGTCTTGCTCCTAGAGACCTCTGAACACCTCCTGGGAGCAAGAGAGCCCCTAGGGTCAAGATGCTTTCCTAGCATTGATAGATGTGACGGATCATGGAGGGGTTTCGTTTAACCACTACGCCAGCTGGCCAAAAAGGCACAATGTTTGGTCAGCGACCAAACACCCAAACTACTATATATGCTCGATCTCTGACAATAGAGCTGTTAGCAGGAGGCTGACTGATGATAGTAAAATTGACGGACCTACGGGCTTTTGTAAGATTGACCTTCTGGGACTCTTTATTGCATGGGCTATACATATTTCCATCAAATGTTCTGACAAGAGAACAATAGTAGTTGATAATTCCAAAATGGTCCGCCACTACTATTCTTCTTGGAATTAAGCTGCTACGCGCACTCGTCCTTGACTGGCCACGATGGGGACGCTAGTGAGATCACGAGATGAACGCGCTTTCATCCATTTATCAAAGTAAGTCAATTCGTTCATATGAATTTGAACCTCGCCGTACTGGTCTTTCAATACTACCTCTCCTTTGCTTATTCATTGAGAAATAATCATGGATCAGTGATTCTGTTTTGTGGCTGTGTTCCAGATTCTCTCTATCTCGTTCTTCAAACCCTTGATTTTGAAGCACTTTAGCCGCCACTGGAACTACCTTGTCGGCTTGTGCCTCCTGCATCAAGCTTTTGCCCATTGATGTAAGATTTTTTTGATTTCGATACCTCGTTAATTTGAAGCAGAACTTGATTCTTCATTTCGATCTCAGTTCTAACCAAGCTCGCTACAGCCAAGGAGAATATAACTCATCAAAGAGTCCTCATATGTAGTGCCTTGCAGTGAAATCCAATGCTACTGTGTCTATCTGATATACTCCACCATTAATTTGATTTCCTGCACCTGGAGGGAATACTGGCACCATGATCGCGATTCAAGGAGAAAAGCCGAGGCACATTATGATACCAGTCACAAACTGTCAAATGCCAGTAATAGATCGCCTTCTGGAGAACAGCCATAATATTAGAGTCTTACCGAGTCATCCACCCAAGCCACTTGCTTCTGACCACTGTAAGCTGTTGCGCTTGATTGAACATCAATTAATTCCTTGTCCTTCATTAATCGAGATCGAACCCGAAGCTAGATAATGTTTGTTAGTACGTATTCAAATAAGTATGTGACGTTCCAGGGGCGAGTACGGACAAGTATATTTGGTGCCGCCGGTGTTTCCTTTGCAATTGGCGGCACGGTGACAAGCTGGTATTCTTTGACAAAGGAGATTGCCTCGCAAGTAAGTTCTCGTAATAGATCTGTTAGTTTCCCCGGTTCCACGAAGTCGTGCTTGGCTTCTTCAAGGGCCGCTTTCCAGTTGCCCTCATCTCCCATTTCGCGCGATGCCTTTTTAAGCTCATAGACACACGAAGGTAATTCATCATGGAAATTGAACGGAGATTTGGTACCAATTTCAGAAACAGAGCTAGTAGTACTTAGATCCTTGGTCAGAGCTGCATCATAAGTGCCTGCGCCCGTGTGGTATGCGTAAACATAGAGGTTGTTATGCTCTTGGATGATGGCGCCTGTGAACTTGAGTTGGAAATGTTTGGAGAAAGGAATAGCGATAGGTGCGGCGGTAGCAGAGGCAGCCAACAGAATCATGCATGTGAGTGGTCTCATTCAGGAGGTTGCAGGGAGTAAGTTGTGATCCCTAAGTTGGAGTTGGAAAAGGAGTAGGCAACAGCGCCGTAAAGGGGAATTTCACAAAGTTCAAGGTTTGGTGTACAGTAAGGCAGGAAGCAAGCTACATTTATATGTAGAGAACAATTTGAGGACTTCTTTAGCCACAATGGGTTAAGTGACTGTTGAGAGCAAATTTACGGCGACAACTGTAATCAAGTATTCATCACCACATTCATTCACCGCACTTATCCGCGTTTAGTGCGGTCGATCAACAATACTACCGATGGAAATCCTCCAGACCCATGGGTTTACAGGGATGGATGGATGGATGATTTCATTTACCCCGACCCCTCGCAAAGTTGGATCCCAGGTCACGTGATGTATATAGATCTATAGAAGTGGCTGCCTGTTAGGCTGACACTCCGCTAGGCAGCAGGGAGATGAGCTGCTGCAACTACAAATAGCTGGATCTCTTCATATAGATGAATTATCACACTTGTACCTCATTCTAGGGTCCAACTGGTTATGAGCCTCTCTTTTCTATACAAGCCTTTGGATGGACACAAGTGATCAGTGATCAAGACCACAGACCCCAGACCCCAGTCGCCCAACCCAGGGCACCAGACAAGACATAATCCAAGATGGATGAAGTCAAACCAGATCGCCAGCTGAAAGGCAAGACCAACTTCATCAGTTGGAAACGCGAGTTTGAGCGAGCAGCCAGAGCAAATGATGTGCTTGAGTTTCTCACGGGCGAAGAAGTCGTCCCTCCCAAGCCCAACAAAGACGAATACTTTGTGAAGGTTCTTGACACCGAAACTCGTCGGTCCACTCGGATCAAGAAAAGTTTAAGCCCGACGACCGATGACGAAAACGAGACGGATGATAGCCAGGCAGTTGTCTTGACGACCAATAACACACTCCGATGGCAGATCGACCACAACGAACACAAGAATGCGAAAGAAAAGATGAAGCTTGCAAGCAGATTGCTTGACGCTTGGATTTCCGACGGCATTAAAATCGAGATCGAGGATTTTGCAGACGCCAAAGAAGCTTACGAATTTATCAAAAAGCGATACGCTGTCACAAATGAACGTGCGCGTGATATCCTGTTGAATCGCTTACATGATCTCAAGCTGGATCACTGTGAATCTGTGACCGACTACACCAACCGAGTCCGTCAGATCAAGGCTGATCTCAAGACAGTCAAATATGATATGACTGACGACATGTTCGCAACCGCTCTTCTTCACGGCCTTCCTCCTAACTATCGCAGCTTCAAAGAGAAGTATGATTGGATTAGGTCGACCAAACCTGACGACTCCCCCGATCTAGACTATCTTTTTGAACGTATGCATGTTGAAGAAATGCAGCAACTTCAAATGAAAGAAGAGAGAAAGGCCAGAGACAAGGCCAAGAGAGATGCGACAAACAGCAGCACTATGAATATAGACAATCCTACTCGTTACAGGCCGAGACGGGAGGACAGAAATCACCTCAAGTGTACCTATCCTAGCTGTGGCAAGACTGGCCATAGCGAAGATGATTGCTGGGTTAAGAACCCCGAGAAAATTCCACGTTCTCTCAAGGAAAAAATCACCAACACCACCAACAGGGCCGTTATCAATAATGGCATGGGTGGTGTCGCAGAAATGAATCTCACTGATTCTAAAGACACCTATATCCGGACTGATGCTCTAGGTACGGGTTCCTCTTCTTCAACTCTTGCGAAACCAGCTGACCCTTCGCCACAGATGCATAGAGCTATGTCTTGCATCAAGTTGCGGAGATCAGGGGGAGTTGATATGGGGGACCCAGTGCCCGCGATGTTGGATTTTTCTAAACCTGTATTGGGGGCTTTCTTGGCAGGTAGTTTCTGTGCAACAGACACATGGCTAGCTGACACCGGAGCGAACATGCATATCGTTAATGACATGAAATGGTTCAAGAAAGATACTTTCCGCCCATCCAATTTAAAAATCAGTACCGCAGACGGGTCCACTACCCTTGAAATTGAAGGAACGGGAGTTGTCAACCTTGTCCTAAAAAGCCCTGATGGGTTTCCAGTTAAAGTTTCGCTTTCGGAAGTTGCCTATGCTCCTCGAGGAAAATGCAACCTATTTTCGGGAGGGATGTTCACCCAGAGGGCAAAAGTAACCGGCATCTACAATGAGCAGTATATGACATGGATGAATGATGCCGGACACATGATCGGACACGCCATCTTCGGCAACGGTCTATATCACCTCGGCGCCACACAACTTCCCAGTGATAATATGACAGGTGGTGTCATCGCAGCCACAGTGGACTTCGATGACCCTGTATGGAAATGGCATCGGAGGTTAGGGCATCTAGGCTTTCAAAACATGCTGAATCTGCTGCGTAGCTCAACTGGGATGGAAATCACTGAGAAGCAGATCAAAGCCAAGCTCAAAGCCGTTTGTCCCGTTTGTGCGACAACACGGGCCCTGGTCAAGATTCCGCGCGACCCTGCCTCGCGTCATGCTCAACAACCGGGGGCAATGGTTCACATAGATGTGTGGGGACCATATCCAATCGAAGGATTTGATGGAACTAGGTACTTCTTGTTCATTACCGACGACTGTACGCGATATACTTGGAGCGCACGATTCGACAAAAAGTATCAGCTCTTTGAAGTTTTCAAATCGCTGGTCAAACTGATCCAGAAGGTTTTCAATATTACCATCCGGTGCTGTCGCTTTGACAACGAATTTGAAAGGGGACCGATTGGCAAATGGTGCAGCTCCCATTCCATCGCGCGAGAACCTATCGAGCCATATGCGCATTATCAGAATGGTGTTGCTGAGAGGACGAACCGTACTATTCGTGAAAAGGCCGCACCTATGGTTCAAGAAACTTCCATCTCCGGACAAGTCTCGAAGATTGTTTCTGAAAAGGGCAACGAGCTCTTACGAATTTCCAAGATTCCCGAGAACCTCTGGCCCGAAGCTATACAACATGCTGTCTGGCTGAAAAATCGAACTCCAGCGCGTGCACTACGCAAGAAGGATGCAAAAACACCATATGAAGCCTTGCGGGGAATAAAACCAACTCTCACAAGAGAAAGAATCTGGGGCAGTCGAGCATATGTCACGTATCCGCAAGAGCTGAGAAACACGGCTGAGATGACAAAGTTACATAACCCTCGTGGCTGGCTAGGCTACTTTGTCGGATGCGAGAGTGAGGCAATATACCATATCTATTCTCCAGAGAAACACAAGGTCTATCGAATCGGCGTTGCAAGGATCGAAGACGGTGAAGGGCTGCGCGATCCACATGATGCACCGTGTTTGGAAGATAGGATCCCCACCCCAGATGTTGCAATTACGGACAACAATCCCTCGGAAGACGGGTCAGAACCTTCAAGTGATTCAAACAGTGACCATGACGACGGTGGCTCCCGCCATGATCAACACACTGTAATCTCCTCGGATGAGGAAATTGCTGACCAAGAGCACCAATTTTCTGAAGCGACACACGGGTCACAAGATGAGGTCGAAGACGCCGATGATGAAGAGGAGACCGATGACAGAGACTTGGGTCCTACAATTGTGTCCAAGTATTTCAATCAAACCAAGCACGCCGGCATGGCTAAACGCAAGGTTCCGGATGAACCTATAGTAGCGCCAAGGAAAAGCCGTCGAGCTACTCACGGACTACGTGACATCGAACTAGACCATTCAGACTCAGATTTATCGGACTCGAACGACGATTCCTGGTACTACTCGGAAGACGAAAAGATCTCACAGGCTTACTGGCAGTTTGTCGCAAAACATGGCGGTAATCATATGAAGAATTTTCTACCTGATGATGATAAATGCGATCGTTGTTTCCGAAACGGAAGAAGATGCGACTCTGCTGAGAAAGGAATACCCTGTTCAATTTGCAGGAAAGAAAACCAAGGCTGCAGACCACAGTCAAAGGAAACGAAACGCCTGATTCTTCCTGAGAACCGCCACAAGCGCAAATTAATTGGAAGAGTACAACAGGACCAGCCATGTAGAAGATGCTTTCAGACAAACCGCACGTGTTTTCTTGTTGATCCAAGCAATCCACAATGTGAAGGATGTCAAAAAGCAAAATTGAATTGCAACTGGAACTTGGATGGAGCAAAACAATCAACAGCGCGACAGAGGAGAAGACAAGCTGAAAAAGAAGCAAGGCATGAAAATCTCGGATTTGCACCAGTCCCTCGAGATCAGAAATGTTACCGGTGCGCATCAAAAATAATAGCATGCGATGGGAAGATTCCATGCAATAAGTGCAGCACCCTTCTTCAGCGCTTAGCGTGTCGGCCGCAGGGCGTAGAGGATTTACGTCCTTGTGACCAGTGCAGACATGGAAGTAGAAGTGGAAAGAAATGTGACCGCGGACGACCTTGCAAGGCATGCATCCACGGAAAGTCAACATGCAGCTACAAAGCTCAGCATGGTTTGCTAACTAGAATCTATCGCGCTCCTGATTCCCCACTTCCAACAGGTTTCTCCTCAGTGGGACCTCTTGAGGAAGGAGATCCGTCTGATGAGGAATGCGTACGCTGTCGAAGAATGAAATTGAATTGTGATGGCAAACAACCTTGTTACCCATGCATCAAGTCACAAGATAACAGTCACGTCGCCAATTGCAATTATCGGCGATCTGATGGAACGTACGAGTCATGGGCGATTCGACCATTCGAGGTGAAAGGCCTGACCGAGCCGAATCTTCGGGAAAATTACCAAATCTACGCTAGTCGGAGGAAGCTTCAAGCTTCCCACGAGCCGGGATCAGTGAGAGAGACGATCGAGTCCAACTCACATGATATTGAGAATTACAATCGACGCGGGGCGGCCAGGGATAGCCACAAAACTTTCAAAGTCGGTCTATCTGTATACTCCGAACACATTCCACCACCTCTACAGCTGAGAACTGATGGCACTGGGAGCACAAAGTACCACCAGGCTAAGATGGAAGAGTTGAATTCGCACAAAGAAAAA